GGATGATGTTAGGGAAGGAGTGAGCAAACCAAGGATCACAGATGTACATAAGTAAAATAAAGAAGAGTATAACTAGGTTTTATTTTGCATAAGAAAGGAGTACATAGGCAGAAAGTTTTCTTGTTGTTAACAGCTGACTGGGTTTTAAGGGCAGAAGAGTAATTTACAATATTTTAAACTTCTTGTCTTCTTTATAGGAATTGTGGGAGTTTTCTGTAGTAGAAGTTCACCCCATTTTAGCTCAAATAAACTGGGAAGCTAAAAATACAAGAAATTCATTCAAAGTGTCTGGGAATAAGATGGTCATGACTTGCTACAGTTCTATCTGAAAATGCTTTTTGTCTCTGGAGGGATCATATTGAGATGGTTGTGAGTAATATATTGTGGGAGTTTTTCCCTTTAAAACAGCTGTTGGTTTAATCATGTGCCAAGGATTTAAAACAATTGTGATTTATCAGCTAGGGAAACAGAAGACTGATCACATTCCTTGCCAGATTTTGTAGAAACTGGATCTGGATTGTTGTCTTTTTTTATTTGTCATGAGGAAATAATATACTTCCTATTTTGTTACCTTGTCTAAAATAAGAAAAATTGCAATGGAATTGAAGTAGACTTTGCACATGCTATCATAATCCTGAAGTAGTAGATGAAATACCAATTGAAATTTTAGGACTAAGGCCAATAATAAAAGCTTCAAAATTATCTGCTGGAGTAGATAATTGTACATTTATAGATTCTTAAAGTTAAATAGTGGTTTATTTTTTGTTTGTCACCCTTACTCAATATGTAAGTTCATGCATTACTGTACTGGTGAGATGGCAGTTGGTTTGGTATCCTCATGCATTGCCCATTCTCCTTCTTTCTTCATTTTTATTGTTAATATATGGAAAGATTCAAGGCAAGATCAATATCATAATCATTTGGCTTGAATTAACTGCTCATGCGAACAGTGCTATACATACATGAAGACAAGAAGATTCCACTTAAAGGAAAACATAGTATGGGAGTACATGACAAAGCTGAAGGGCTTAATACAGAGTATATAGATTTTAACCTTTCCTCCTTTTTCATTCTTCAGTGGTTCTGTGATTAATGTGTGTCAGTGCTCTCGGGCACATGGTGTGGTTCTTGGGGCTGTTCTGTGCAGGGTTAGGATCTGGACTTGGTTTTCTTTGTGGGTTTCTTCTAACCCAGGATATCTTATACTCTTTCTTTCTGAGATATATGCAAAGGGAGGACACTGGTTGCAAAAGAAGTATGTTTTACAGTCTTCTAGGCCCTTTTCATACTGTCACATGTGCTAGTGTTTTGCTAGTTTAAAATCAGAAGATTAATCTCAGCAGTGCTGGGTAGTTGCTAAGAGAACCCAAGTTCCAAATCCAAAGACCTTGTCTGAGGGTAATTAAGTTGTGATTTGAGTGTCTGTGATTATAAAGGAATTAGACATAACCTTCTGTTGTTCTGTCACATCTGTTAGGAAAAAGTGAGATTTTAAAACCAATCAGTGCAGTTTTATTGGGGCACTTGAACTTAAATTTGATATAAATTTTTATTTTATATGACTTTTTTTTTCAACACTTGTTTTTACCAGGTTAGCATATGCAATGTCTTGGTGCCTTTATTTGTGTATGCATTTTTTGTTGTTATTTCGGTTTTATTCTTCTTTTTACTCTTAATGAAAAATTTCCACTTGCTGTTGAAGCTATTCTTTCCAAGGTTTTGCGTTTCATCTGCAATCTTTCCACGTGCCACTTGCTTAAGCTGTAGAAAAAGTCTACACTCTAGCCTTCTTTTCATCTACCTGTATGAATTTTTTCTAATTTCACTGTAAAAATAAGATCACAGAAGGATCTGGTACTTCCAGGGGTAATGGCTTACCTGGTATCTGCCTTATGCCGAGGGATAAAGAATAGTTTAAGAAATGCTTGTGACATGAGGATTGAAAATAAAAGAATAATTAAAGGTAAAAACACGTATTAGTAAAAGGGTAATAATTATTACTGGCTCTTTTAAAAATGTATGATGAATCAATTCAGCTACATCAGGTTTTGGTGTCATACAAAATTCACCTGATAAAAATGTTGCTTTATTGGTTTTGTAAAGTTGTCATTATGCAATTTTAAGCTGATGTGCTGCCCTTGTCCAATTAGCCTTGGAAGTGTTTGATCGAGTCCCCTAGTGCCAGTTAAGATACAAATGAGGTCAAAATACCGTTAGGGAGTGAGACCTTATTACACATGGGGGAGAGAAGGGGTGATAGGAAAGTTAGGAAAGGGGGAGAGTTAGAAATAAGCAAGATTTGGTATGCCAAAGCAGAGATAAGTTACCACTATGATCCAGATGATCCAAAGTCATGCAGAAGAGGAGATAGTCACCACCATAGGTCCAGTGGTGTTCTGATGATTCATAGTCATGTAGAAATGGAGACAGTCATGACCATGGGTCCAGCAGCATTCTTATGATCCGTTGTCATCTTTTTCTTAGGTGGTAGGTATCTGGCATGCTCTGGACGCTGGTCCTTTCCATAGGGCTCTGTCAGGCACTGATTGGTCAGCTTCCCTGGAGTTGAGCAATTCCCAGCCTTGAGATCTCAGCAGCTGGAAGTGATGCCAGTCTTGGGGAATGGTGCCTCTAGGCAGCTGGAGGGGATGTTGATCCCTACCTTGGCATTCAGAGGGTTTGGTGGTGGACAATGGTGCAGCTAGAGAATTTCGGTGGCCAGAGGCATCCTGTGCCTCAGCAAGCTTTGAGGCTATCAACCACGACTTTGCCCCACAACAAGCCATCAAGAGCAGGCAACATCGAAACAAACATTTCTTAAAGGTCCCTTGCACATGCCAGCATGTTGGTTTCTTTAGTTCATTTATTTGTACAACTTTTGTGCTGCTTAGACTAATCATTCCCTCTAGCTAATCCTGATATATATTGGAATATAATACGGCAAATATTTCCACATTTAAGAAAAAATATTTCTATGTTACATTAGTTGCTGTTGTTCTATTAATATGGCCCACATTTGCATCCTTACTGGTCAATCACACTGTGAACTCAGCTTATCTAAGCTGAAATTCAGTGAAACACTCGAGCAGGTACTTAACTTTAACCATATATAACTGTGCTGAGACTACTTGCTAGAAGTACACAGATGCTTAAATGCTCTGCTGAATGCAGAAATGCTTTAAAGGAATATGGAGTGTTTTGCTGACTGAAGCCCTTGCACTTGCATAATTTGCCCACTCTGATCCAAGCATATCTTTCTGTTGCACAGCAGAAAAGGATTGCTGCCCTGCTGATATTGATTCCACTTGATTTTTGCACTCACCTAAGTGGGAACATTTTTCTGCTTATTTTATAGAGATCTAAACAGTGTTCTGAATCTTTCAGCTTCACTAGGAAGAAGATTAGCTACTCTGTCAAAGTCTTTGTTTTTAAAAAGAATGATTAAAGTTTTCCATCCTTATGCTATTTCAGATCTTGGTGTATAAAACAAGGCTAGGGACTGGGTTCAGGTGCTACAATCTTTTGCTGCTGTTTAGTGTGACCTAAGAAGAGCATATTTTCTTAAAAGCATGACTTTCTCTTTGTGCTCCTTTTCCCTGTAGATACTGCATATATGGTTGAGGCTATTTTCTTTCTGACTTTTTTTTTCCTTACATGTGAAATGTTTTGAATCAGATATGGAACAGTCTGTATCCTACCAGAGAAACTGAAATTAAAATGATCTTTCATGCTGGGTTGAGGTAGTGTTTCAGTTGTATTTTTTACCTCAGTCCTGGAGCAAAGCATGATGAATACGGATTTTTCCAGTATTATACTGTTCTGTCCAGTAGACCTAAAAGATGATAACTCTGTCTATTTGAGAAAGTGCATAGTCAGCTGTCCCTTTATTAAAAAGTTTACAGTTCAGCCGCTTATTTTGATGAGATCCCAGTTAAGTAGCATTAGAGAGCAGATGTTCCTGGTGTAATCTGATAGTAATTTTTACTCTATTTTCTAATTTGTAGTCAAGGATAGATGATTTGATGAGACCGAGGCCTCTGTCAAACCTTCACCCTGCTCTACCTCAAGCTGATCCCTTGACCTAAAAGAAAGAACAAGGAGTTCTGCAGTATTTTTTTTGTTGTTGTTGTGTACTGTACCATAGTTGCATTCAGATGAACATAAAGCATCAATGAGACAATTTTGGAGAGACTTTTTTGTCCTTCCTAAACTTTCTCTATAGTTGGAAAATAATTTTATAGCAGATTTAAGCACACATTTTTTCAGAGAGTATTGGAATAGAGGCTTATTGGCAGTAACAAATTATGGTATGCTAAAAATGTTTCTTATGAGAATTGAGATATAGAGAGTAATAAATGAGGAAGAAGAGCTCTGAAGGAAAGGACACTAGTAATAAGCTTGGTTTCAGCTGATGGTAATTTAAGAATTTGTCATGACAAGCTTTTTTTTTTTTTTTGCATGTATCAGTAAATGCAATTTGAATTAGATAATGATTTATTCCTGAGGTACAATAAATAAATTGCAACAATTGTTGCTTCTATTTTATACTGTTGCTCGTTGTTTAACTACCCCAGATCTTCTGTGCATAGGCCTTTTTGATTTTATAAACCTTTAACCAGTTTATGCATCTATTGGTTAAACCACAACACAGGCATACAAACCAGATGGCATTGTATTTCCCAGTCTAGGATCAAGGAATGGACTAGTTCATATTAATTTATTGTCTTTCGTGACTGCTTTAATTGTTCATTATTTAGTCTACAGAATTTTTAATTCGTGTTTTTAATAGTACTTTTAAAGAAACTGTGAATAAACTTGTGGCAAATAGATGTTAATTTCATAATATATATCAATACTTTTATGACAGATTATGGTGGTAACCCTACCTTCTTCCCAAGATGTCAGATGATGTACCAAATGCTCAATGAAAAATAAGGGATTATTGTAGGTTTTTTATGTCTGTGTGTAATTGTGTTCTTACTTTTCCTCTGGCTTTACAGGGCACAATGACTACATGTGTCCTGCTACTAACCAGTGCACTATCGACAAGAACAGAAGAAAGAGCTGCCAGGCATGCCGACTAAGAAAATGTTATGAAGTGGGAATGATGAAAGGTGGTATGTACACAGCCATCAACAAATCCTCAGCATTGTTGTCTACCTTCCTGACTTTTAACTTCATTGAGCAGCTGTTATGATTTTTAACTAAAGGAGGAAGCAACTGATTTTATTGAGCTGAAGAGTATTAAATCAAAGAGTGATTGAATAAAAAAATCAAAGTCTTCCAAATATCATGTTATCTTGCACAAATTTGAATGAAATATAATAGGAACATTGACTTCAATGGAATTTTAAATCTTCCGTTGTTATTTTCAACTCATTTTTTTTCGGTATTTCACGGTAGACTTCAGATCCCAGTCTAACCCAAGATTTTGCAGTTCAATGTGAAGAGCATTGGTAGTCTCAGATCAGTCCATATTCATTGAAATAAACTTCTAAATATGTAATTCCCTGGAAGGGAAAGTAAATTCCTCTGTTCCAGTACTGTACACATATTTTAGATGTGAATTAATTTAACCAAACAATAATAAAGGCACACTCATTTTATAAAAACTGAAACGAATGCCACTTTCTTGGAACATACTTATGTAATAATGATGTCAGAGGAGAAGAATCAGACACTGAATGCTTAGGCTGAAGTGGAATAGGACTGAATTACTTTATTTCTATACCTTTAATGTATTTCTGTATGTTTAACTTTTGGATGCAAAATTAGAAACACATGACAGTACTGAACAATTGCTGAGTTGTGTTCCCAGATAGAAGAGTTCTTTCGTAACAGTTTTGGATTGATTATGATACCTGCTGTTCTCCTCTATGTTACAGGAAATTATATTTGTTAAACACACATGTAAGTTAGTTATTTTGAATCCTTCTGGAAAACCCAAGATCCTAAGAAATAAGAATATAAAGAATGGATAATAGTAACATTTCATGTTCACTGTAAAGCAGAAGAAAAACTTCTTGTAGCCTACTAAAAATTTCAGATTGCTTTTATTAATGAAGTGTAATCACTAACTCTATTGAAACATATATCTATATGAAAAAAATAGCAAACTACTAAGTGCTCAGAAGGGAAGGCAGTAGATCCCATGTCTTCTGAGTGAAAAGATCTAATTGAATTAGAGACTGGTTCTCCCCTTCTCTGGCACACCTAATGCTTACTTATGCCATAAAATGCCTGGAGCAAGAGAGAGTAGTAGCTCATCATGTTTGTCCTTCCCACAACGAAGGACTGTTTATAAGTCCAGTCAAGGTAGGTCCAGTCTGAGAATTTGGGGAGAAAGAGTAAAGTGGAAAGTGTAAAGGAAAACTGGTCAGTTGTTGCTGCACTTTGAGGTTGAATCTGCATTTTTCTCAAATCAAGGATTAGGAAAGAGCTGTGACTGATTTTGTTAATCTTAGTTTTGAGGTGGAAGCAGGAAGAAGATGTATAGTCTCTTTTTAGTTCTAACACTTAAGACAGTAGTTGATTTTTTTCATGACCTTTAGTTTATTGATCTGGTGGGGTTATTTTTTTGTTTCTGCCTTACCATCCTGGTGCATATGGCAAGAAATCTTAAAAGTTAAATGCGTGTAATTAGTATCACAGCTATGATCTGGAGCTCCAGATAAGGCAAACTAAAATCATAAATTTGCCATGAAGCTTTAGCTTTGACCCTTGTACATATGGCGGATCATAGTTAGGATATATAATTATGTTTTATGTTTATGATATTACATTGTTCATTTGACACATTTCCATCCAGTTATACTTACACATTTTTAATTACAGATCCACTGTGCCAGTTTCAGGTTTATCATATCTCTTCTCTAAGATGCATGTTGTAACAGGTTTTTGACTGTTCTGTATGTAATTACAAAAAATTTGTAAAAAATTCTCAACTAACACTCTGTAGGTTAAAGTAGCCAGAAAAAAAAAAGACTGCAATTCTGTTAAAATTTCTTTCAAATATAGATGTTCTGCTATTTTTATTTCATATAGTGACCCTCACTCAAGTAAAATCCTTTGCATTTCACCTTTCCTTTTACAATGCTGTATGATAGTCACTACAACAACTGGCAGTTCGAACATAGTGTGGTGGTGTGGGGTTTTTTTTGTTTTGTGGGGTTTTTTTTCTGTTGTGGGTTTGCTTTTGGTGGGTTTTGTGTTTTTTATTTAAATTTTATTTTTAAAATATTTTAAAGAAACTAAACTCACCATTTACAAGCAAGGAGATCAGGATCAGCATAAATTCTATCTGCTTCTATAAGACCACTAATAACTCCCTGAAGTCCATCATTAGTTCATAGGCAAGAGTTGAAAAATATTTATTTTATGAAGTTTTGAAAAAAAACCTGAAGATTCCTCAGTTGCAAGTTATAAATCTGGCATGCCTGTAGATGAAGTATTAAAGGAAGGTAAAGTTAAATGTTGATGAAGTAAAACATTCAAGATTCTTCTGGTCTGATTACTGGTCCCCCATTGTCCACAGAGATGTGGAGGAAAGAAAAATGTTTTTTCTAAAGGTAGACCTCTCAGAAAAATGTACAGGTGAAGTGAATATTCTTGTATGCCATCTGGTTAGCTTTAAAGTAATAACTTTTAAATATTTTTAAAATTTCCTTTTTTTTTTTTTTTTTTTTTACCTGAGGAGGTCTCTTAATCTTGTCTGTTTTAATTGATATAATAACTTTTTTCTTCAACGTGCTTAAATCATGTATCTCTGCGGTCAACTCAGGGATCACAGAATCACAGAATTACAGTCGGTCAGGTTGGAAGGGACCACAGTGGGTCACCTGGCCTAACCTAGAGCACATGGCTCAGGATTGCATCCAAATGGTTCTTGAATATCTCCAGTGAGGGTGACTCCACCACTTCTCTGGCCAGTTTGTTCCTGTGTGCAGTCATCCACATAAAAAAGAAGTTCTTCCTCATATTCAGGTGGAACTTCCTGTGCATAAGTTTCTGCCTATTGCCTCTTGTATTATTGCCTGGCACCACTGAGAAGAGCCTGGTTCCAAACTTTTGGCACCCCTCCTTTAGACACCTAAATACATTATTGAGGTCCCCTCTCAGTCATCTCTTCTCAAGGCTGAACAGGCCCAACTCCCTCAGCCTTTCCTCGTAAGAGAGATACTCAAGTCCCGTAATCATCGTTACTGCCTTCTGCTGGATTCACTTCAGGGGCTCCATGTCTCTCTTGTACTGCGGAGCCCAGAACTGGACACTATACTCCAGATGAGGCCTCACCAGGGCTGATTAAGGGGACAGGATCATGTCTCTCGACCTCTTTCTAATGCATCTCAGGATTCCATTTGCCTTCTTGGCCACAAGGGCACACTGCTGGCTCATGGACATCTTGTTGTCCACCAGGACCCCCAGGTCCTTCTCTGCAGAGCTGCTTTCCAGCTGGTCAGTGCCCAACCTGTACTGGTGCTTGGAGTTACTCCACTCCAGGTGCAGGACACATTGCTCTCTAACAATTCATAATTCTCGTGATTGAATGTTTTAATTTAAATAGTCTCCTCTTGTTCATATTGAAGAATTTCCCTTTTTTAAGGCATTAATTCTTTCATACATTTGAATATTCAGTTATGTCTTATCTCACTTTTATATCCATCTCCACAAGTTGCTTGTAATGGCATACCTTTTACATATAGCTAAAAACAGCTGTAATCTGTCTTTTCTCTAAATGTAATCTCAGTTTTCCTTATGCACCAAATTAGCTGAGGTTTCTTAATGAATTATCAGTTGCTAAATTGTGATTTTATCTGTCATTTAACTTCTGAGTAACAACTGATATTAATTCCTGAGTTTCACTAAATATGGGGGAAGGGAGATAAAATCTTGATTCAATGTCTCTGGTTAATTCTAAACATAAGATATCGACTATGGTTCTGAAGTTTTTCTCACAGATTGTCACTTAATGCAACACAAAAAAAGTTCAAATTTTTTGTAGACTGAACACAACTGAAATATGTTTCTGGGGCTTCATTTAGAAAAAATGCAGGCTTCAAGTGGCTCTTGAGCTGTGTGATAGGAACATTTATTTATGGGTTTCTGTGGAAATTTTATTGATTTTTTTTTTCTTGCCCCACTGTTCTTCCAGCTTTTAAAAACTTCTTTCAGTACTGAAGAGTTATTTTCTTTCTCTCCTCTTATGTTTGCAAGTGTTTTCTTCTGCATCTGTTACTGTGCCACTTCAAGATGCTGCCAGAATCTCCACTGATGTAGCCAGCATCTGAGGCAGAATTTATAATTGTTACATTTTGTCTAAATACTTCACTCTCTCTTTCTGAATAAGCTGTAAAGACCTTAAAATTATGTTATTATTTGTCTGTGCAACCCTGTTTGTAGTTGATGATAAAGCAGACACGTAGAATAAGGTCCATCTCATGTCCCTCTTTCTTCTGTTGAGTAGCAGGGAAGAGTAGCCTTGGTTTTATTTACAATTCACTGATGCCATCTTGAAGATTGTTCTAGTTTGGTTTGGAGAAGTATATTCCAATTCACTGTTTCACATGATGGGAGACTCAGCTTCCAAATGGAGTTGTTACAGCAGTTGCAACCCTGGTGTGCCAAACACATGTGGCGCATGTGACCTCTGCTCCAATCCTGACCTAGTTTTTCACTTCTTCATTGTCTTAATGGCTTTCTGGTGTCTTGGGTCCAAAGAACTTAATTTTCTGAAACTAAAAGCACCTTATTTTTATTGTTGTATGTTAATTATTTTTATAATGTGGTAAATGAATGGCGATTTCTAGTTACTAGCATGTTACTTTCTTCCCCTCCTTTCAATGTGTGACAAGGCAGATTTATCAAGTTCTCTGTGGGACAAGAGCAGCAGAGTGCTAGTAAAATTAGTGGCTATGGCAAAAATTTGCCATGATGTTAAATACTAGGTCCTTAATGAAGAATCATTTATTTGTCTGATGATCCTTGAATAGCCACCCTGAAACCTACATAATTCTTTCAATTGTTGAATGTTGATGACTTCTTAACCTCGTCATATGAAATGTGGAAATCAAGGATTTGAATGCTTGTGTGCTAGATCCAGATGGTGATTTTGTCTATG